ATTGCAGGGCAGAAGGACCTAGGTGAGTTTTAAAGGCCCCTTCTAACCCACACTATTACATGGTTCTGTGAAGCACACTTAAGAAACGTAATGATGAACTTCCCTCAGTTTGAAAAATTGAATCAAAACACCGACCTGAACCAATATGTCAGATATTACATTAAATATCTATTAATCTATTATACAGATTGCATTAGATATTATCTTAGCTGAGTTAGTGGATTTTAATTAGAGGAAATTAGGAGCAATGAGAAAAATATTCGTGTTATCTACCAGTGGTTGACTGGTCTGGAGTCTAATGAATGCCACAGATTGGTATCTAGACATCTGTGTGAATGTGTAATCAGAATCATCCATGAGTTTTCATCCTCTATTTTCCTCTACCTACTTTGAAGCAGGGGGATCCAGTGGGTGTCATCCCAAAACAGGTGATACCTCAATTTAGAAATACAGGGCTTGAAAGGGATTCCCAAGTCTCTAATTCCAGTCTCGTGGCAACAAACTGTTTGTTTTTGTGAATAGCTCAAATTTTTCTTGTTTCTTTGCAAATAACTCTCTGCTGCCCTCTTTGAAGGAGGGTAACTTTGACTTCTGAAAGTGTCAAAACCTGAGAATGGAACTGGGGGCATTGCAGAAGCTGAGACATTAATTAGAAGAAACTGTGTTCACCTGAGTTGCAGCGTGTCAGAACGTGCAGGTGAGAAGGAAGCAGCCCTTCCTCATCAGCGAGGAGAGCAGGAACATCCTGCTGCATCAAGGAGCTATTCTGGAGCAAAGCCCAGAAAGCTGCTAAGGGAGAGTTTGTTCCCATCTGTCCCCAGAGGTCTCTGACAGTACCCAGAGTTGTTTTGCTAAGGTGATTCCTAGCAGGCACCTCCTTGGCATTGCACTCTGCTGGGTCAGGCCACCCATCCCATGGGCTCTCACTCCGAGGTGGCCTTGTTCTCTTGCTGAGCTACCCCTGCAGCTGGGCTGCCCTCAACAGACTTGTGTCCTGCTGACTTTTGTTAACATTTACAAGCTGTTTGCTTCCTGGAAGGCCTCCAGTGCTGCTTCTCTGGCATCAATTCAAGGTTTGCTTCCAGCTCTAGGTGCTCTAAACTTCAGCACACAGTTCCACACCTGTGTGGGATTTGGTCATGAATTTTGGCTATGACACAGCAGAGCTGTGTCAACAGATTTGTAAGCTCCATGATTGCCTTTTCCACACCAGCTGCTGATGGAGCAGCAAGGAGAAACCTATGGCTTCACACAGGCCTCTGGAGCCATGATTTCAGTCAGCCATAGCAGTTTCTGAGGGATGGGCTCTGCCCTCTGTTAGATGGTGGGATATGTGCTTCCAGCCACTGCTTCATCCACAGATAGAAACAGCCTGGATGGGGGTCACTTGTGTGGGAAAAATGCTGGATGGAGAATGTGTCTCAAGTTGTTGCTTACTCCTAATGTAAGACTTTTTTTTCTTTTTATAAAAGCTTCCGGTCTCCATTCTGCAGATCCAGAGTGCTCAGCCATCAAACTGAGGACACATAAAGTGCCACTAAAAGATAGTTCAGATCAGAGCAAGCAGACATTTGCTCTAGATGCCATCTTCTAAGGACCTTACTGCTCTTCCTATGATGGGCTATGACACATGTTCTCATCCCTTGCCCCAAACTCAAAGCGCTTTCTTGAGCAACTGCTATTTGCCTAAGAGTTAACCCAAGAGAAGGAACACCAATTGGTTTGTTATTGTACAGTGGTAGGAGCAGGAAAATCTGACAAGAGAGGGAGACAAGGGGACTTCCATCTTGCAACTTTGGGGCCAAACCTTCTGATTTCCTGGATTTTTCTTTTCATGGACTCCTGCTCCAGCCCCTGTCAGGCAAGCAGGTGCAGCAGCTCTGACCTGTTGAGCCCCACCAGTCTGGGTTGGCTTGCTGCTGCAGGACTGCATGGAGCTCTGTGAGAGTTGAAAACACCCATGGGTTGCTCACCACAACCAGCTCACCTCTGACAAAGAGACCTTCTGGTTCAATGTCATAGTTCAGCTGTGGACTGATCCAGGTGCCTGTAAATATCAACTCAAATAAACAGGATGCCCAGTTTGTTCCATTTTACACTCCTTAATGGTGCATGAGGAATATAAAGGAAGATGGAAGCTTGATGATTTGCTTGCTTGGGGATGGGAGAGGGGACATATTTGAAACTGGAGTGGGTATGATTTGCTCAGTTACTTGCTTCTTACACTCAGAAATCTGAGTTCTGTGTTGCCTGAGTAAAGAATTTGAGGAGAGCTCAGAAAATGAATGCTTGCTAATAGCAATCAAGAGACCTGGAATGGGGATGTTTAAAATGTGTCAGGTTTGTTGATGTTTCTCTAATGAGCTCCTTGAAGAAAAAAACTTCTGTGGACATCAAACACAAAGTTCACCTCAATGAGGGCAACTGTTTTTCTCAAAAGTCCTACAGGCAAGAAAGAAATTTTCACGCTTTCAGCATTACAAAACCCCAACCCACAAAGCACACGAGTGAAAGATTATAGGGACTGTCCCAAATGTTGCCATGCCTGGGCTGGTGCCAGAGGCAACTGTGTGCCACCTCTGCAGCAAGGAGTCCCGGATTCTGCCAGTCCCATGTCACCCCAGCCCCATGGGCATGGGTAAATGCCAACAAAACCACAGCAAGCAGCACCTCTTAAACCCTCAGACCCTTTGTGATTAATTTACTTATTGATGGTCTTTCATAACTCCGTGGTCATCTTTTTTCTCACTGCCATTAATTATTCCTGGAAGCAAATAAAAGGGCCCACCGATATCTCTCCCTCCCACTCAGCACAGCCAGCTTTTCCTTAGGGAGAAAAAACTTGTGCTCATTTGCAGTGGGACAATGCCGACTTTTGAACCTCTAACCACTAAACAAACAAACCTTGCGCTCTGCTCCACAATCCAAACAGGGTTTATTGACAGGCGTATCGCAGCAACGCGCAGCAGCTCCGGCAGCAGCCGGGCTGGGATCAATGCTGCGGGGGTGGCCCGGGCGCCAGAGGACACCCTCGAAGGGGCGGCCCCGCCCGGGGCTGCTGCCGCCCGAGAGCCCTCCTGCCCGGGGACAGGGCAGAGGGAGGAGAGGGCCATGGTGCCTGCAAAGCCTTTCTAACTCAGAGAGCCCTGGTGTAACTGCTCTGCGCTAATGCAGGGCTGGTGCTGCAGAGCCAAGACCCTCGGTTCGGGTGCTGCTCTGCTTTGGTTGTTCCCAGCAGCTCCGCCAGAATGACCCACGGACCCTTTAGAGTCACAGAAGGATGAATCTGGCTCCTGCCTCCCTCTGATCAGGAACAAGCCATGGACATTGGACCCAGCAGGACGTGCTCTGTGTCAAGCCTGTGTGCAATGAGCATTACTGCTCATGGTGCTGCACCCATGTTTCAGCCAGGCCCACTTCAGAGACCATGTCTGCAGCAGAAAATCAAGCAGGTTCCTTGCACTGGAGCTGCTGCCTCCCACCACGGTCTTCTCCCAGGCACAGGAGCCCTGGATCAGGTTTTCATGGCCACATGCTCCGCTCTTGGACTGCCAGCCCCTGGCCCTGCAAGGCATGGAGCTGCATGCAGACAAAATGCAGAGCAGAGGCTTTGGGGCTGGTGCTTTCCATTTCCCCAAGTTCCCTTAGGCAGAGAGAGCTGCCTTGCCAGTAGGGTCAGTCCCTGACCAGACCATTCTCCCCAGGCAGTTCTGTAGATGCTGCTAGCATTTGGCTTTGGCTTTTAGCAAAAAGGTAAGAAAAGCTTAAACAAGGAAGAAACAAAAATGCAAATGGAATAACTTAAATAAATTTGATAACCAAAACTGAACAGCATGGGGCTAAATCCTGGGGAAGTCAATAATCCACATAACGTGTTTGTGGCTGGACAGTGCTCCCATCCTCCCTCCTGGGCCCAGGCCCACATGAGCCAGCTCCACACCCAGCCAAGGGCACTGGCTGCAGCGTGGCTACTCCAGCCTGGCCTCACTTTGCAGTTGGACTTCTCCATCCCTAATTAAGAAATACATATGGCAAACAGCCAAGGTGATTTGGCCAAATCAGCTGGACTCTTCTAGTTTTCATCTCTGCCTAAGGGAGTCTTTTGGCCTCTGCACCCTGATCCCCTCCATCTAGCCAGCATGTGGAAATGGGCCACAGCCTGTGCAAAGTAGGCTCTGATAGAGCACAGGGCTCTTCCAATGATTTCTATTTCTGATGAAGCTGTGGATGAAGTCTACATAAAACTGATAAAATTAAGGGAACTTTGGAAAATCAGCTGAAACATCCCCTCTCTCTCACCCCAACAAGACAGAAATTGTAAGGATGTGAGAAACAGCACACAGTTTAACCAAAGGGACATTGCACACACAAACAAGGCTCCCCACTTCAGCATGACAGGACACCTTTTTCAGAAGAGATGAAATTCTTTCAATTTCTCTGCACTGCAGCTAATAAATCTGGATGGATGACTATCTGCACTGGATTTATGGGCTCTTTTACAAGTGCCTAACATTAAGCAATTCACTTCTGAACGTTTAAACAGTGCCTTATCTGTCTGCTCTGACCCTCAGGGCAGAATGAACATTTTGCATATTCATGGTTGCACGAAAAAAAATAAAATAAAATATAAAATAAAAAAAAACCCATGTGCTTTAATTTTTTTTTTTTTCCTGCTAAAATTCATCATTAGCCCGACAACATTTTAAAGGTCTTTTGGACCGATCCCTGAGATATACCGGGGGTTGACTGGCAGGCAGCGCCCCCACTTTATCTAACAAATTCCAGGGTAAAAAAAAAGCACCCAGACATAATAATAACATTAATAAAGCGATGGACACGCTTCCCCCGGACGACGAGACACATACACTGTACACCTGTACACACGGCCGGCCCCGCGGGGCGGTGTAGTGCATCGGGGGGGCCTCTCCCGCCGCGCCCCCCGGCCCGGCCCGATCCGCTGCGTCCTCCAGCAGTCCCTGCGCCGCTGTCCCCGGCCGCTGTCACTGCGGGGCGGCGGGGCCCAGCCCGGCGGCGGCCGCCCCCGCCGCGGGACCCTGCAAGGAGGCGCTGGGGCTCAGGGGCTCCGCGCCGCCGGGCTGCGCCTGCTGCAGCTTCTTCTTGTTGATCTTCCTCTCCTTCGCCCGCCTATTCTGGAACCAGATTTTCACCTGCCAGGAGGTGGACAGGGGAGTGAGGGGGGACAGTTCACCGGGGATCCATCCCCTTCCCAGGGGCTCTCACCGCGAGCGCATCCCAGCCCCGCGCCTTCCGCCTCCGCGCATCCCAACCCCGCACATCCCTGCCCCGCGCATCCCGGCCACACGTGGCGCGCATAGCCAGCGCCAGTTTTGGGACAGACCTGCCTCTCCGAGAGCCCCAGGTTGGAGGCCAGCTCCGCTTTTCTCCTGATGGTGATGTAGCGGCTGTAGTGAAACTCCTTCTCCAGCTCCAGCCGCTGGTGGTCGGTGTACACGACGCGATACTTGTCTTTCGTCCTGGTTTTAACTGCGGAGCACAAAGCCAGGGTTGAGAAAGTCAAAGCCAAAGGGCAGAGCTGAGCGCAGACGTTCTGTCTGCGGTGTAGAGCGACCAGGAGCAGTCCTATCCCCCCCTCCCGGGCTTGCTGCTCGCCTCCCCTTGCCCTGGGCTCTGCTGAGCGCAGCAGAGGAGAGGAGACGTTCCGCAGTTCCTTGGGAACGTGGGACACCAGTGCCAGGCATGCCGGAGGGCGCAGAGGTTCCCAGCCCCGGCTGGCAGCCCTGGCCCCACCGCACACCCCTGCCTTGCACGGGGACACCTTCACTGTGCACTTGTTGGCTTTTGGTTTTGTTTTGACTTTCCTAGGGACAACAGACTTTTTATAGAGAAAGAGGAAAATGGAAAGAAAGAAAAGGCCCGTTCAGGGCATGGTGATTTCGTTTCAAACGAGAAACAGCCGTCTAAGAGAACCGGGAGCGGCTGCGGTGAACCACTCGTGAAGCGGTCAGCTCCCCCTTTTCTGTTACGGCACGGGGGCTAAAGGGATTTCTTGGGAAGCCTGGAAGTGTGACGTACAACTTCAGAGCTCAGAAAACCCAAAAACCCGGTTCAACAAACAAACAAACAAACAAACAAACAAATAAAAAACGCCAAAGCAAACCAAACACCGAAAACCCAAGGGAATCCGAAGGCGAATGCCAGCTAGCAGCAGCTGAGAGTGCATCGCCGCAGCCGCTGACCTCCTTTTTCCCGTGGGTTTCTTGTTTAACTGGTTGTGTCCCCGGCCCTCCCGTTCCCCAGGGAGCCGAGGCGAGGAGTCTCTGCCCCCAAGGTGCTTAATGGCTAGCAGGCTGACTTTGTTCAGGTAAACTTTCTGCAAACCACAACAAAAGCACCCTGTAAAGATACAAGCCTGATCAGAGAAAACTCCCCAGAGCCAGTGAATAGGGAACACAATTCCAAACAATGCAGGACAAGGAGATCTTATCAAAGAAAAACCCTTCTCAAAGCCTTAATGACAGCCACATTCTGTTTGAATTACCACTACTGAACAAATGGCGGCAGGCGCTTTCATCCCCCCAGCTCTGCACATTAACATAAACACTGGCTCCAAAGGCAGAATTTGAATGGAGACAAGGGACCGGCCACCACAGCACAAGCCCAAACTGTGGGAACTCCACGGGTTGCTGTGGGAAGAGCGGTGGGCCTGTAAGAGCTCCACCGCCACCGGCACCCGGGACGTGGCTGTGCCAGCGGCTTTTCCCCCGGGGGCGCGGCGGCCGCAGGCTTAGCCGGGACTCCCGCACCGCCCCGCTCCGACCGGGGTACCCCCGCCGGCCCTGCCGTCGGTCACGCACTCTCGGATGAGAGGGGATAGCCGTAAGTCATTATTCACTGCGAAACTGCGAAAGTCGTCATCCTTTTTTTTTTTTTTTTCGGACACTATATACAAATATTTGAAAAAATTAAAATTAAAAAAAAAGAAATTTAAAAAAAAGGAAAAGAGGAGAAGTGGAAGGCGTATATCAAAGCGCGGGACACGCATGTCCCCTGCCAGATGCACGGTGGGAATGAAAGAGAGGGTCTGCGGGGGTATTAACATCACAAGGGAGCGCGGCGCCGGCTACGGCCTGACCCGGGAAGGCACGCCCTCGCACGGCCCGGCCCGGCCCGGCCGGGGCCACAGCACGGCCCGCAGGGATCGGGCTGGCAAGTGGCCGCCGCTGTCACTCGGGAGTCTTGGCCGCACGGAGACCTTAATAAAGGGCAGGCGCCCAGTGACTTAGAAACAAATGCGGAGCGACACCGGCCGATGATTTATATGACTATAATTGGTTATAAATATCTTCTAAGTGGCTATAAGCAGGAGTGCGGAGCGGTGGGAGGAAGAGCCAGCGTTTCCTCGGGATCCGGACCATTCCACCCTGCTCCGCCGGAGCGCACCCCCGGGCGCTGAGCCCCCGGGGCCGGCAGCGCTGCTCGCCGGCCGAGCGCCGCTCCTGCCTCTGCCGGCCCGGCGCTCAGCAGTGAGTGCGGACGGGCTGTCGGTAGAGCCCGGCAGCCTTGTTCTCCCGAGGGCCGACCCTCGGGAGGGTTTGTTTCGGGGAGCTCTCCCCGAAGAAAGGCTTTGCCGGACTGCCCGGTGTAACGGGGAGCCGGCGGCGCCCCGGGGGAGTCGTCGGCAGGGCAGCCCCCGCCCGCCCGGCCCCGGCCCGCACTTACCCTGGCTGCTGAGCGGGGGCTGCGCCGGCTTCCTCATCCACTCGCAGAGGCCGCGGCGCTGCCCCCCGGGGGAGAGCGGCTCGGGGGCGGCGCTGGCGGCGGCGCTGGCGGCGTTGAGGGGCTGCATGACCCCGGCGGAGCAGTGGGGCGCGGGGCCGGCGTGGTGGTGGGCGTGCGGGTGGTGGTGGTGGTGGTGGTAGTCGGCGGGGCTGTAGGCCATGGGGGCGGCGGGGGAGCCCCCGTTGAGGCCGTGGACGGCGCCGGCGGCCGACGGCGCCCCTTGGCCATAGGTGCCCCAGTCGTCGCGGAGCGGGGCGGCGTAGGGCGCGGGCCAGGCCGGCCCGGGGGACTGGGCGCCGTCGAGGTTCACATGGTAGCCGCCGTAGTCCGCGTACTGCGGGGCACCAACGAAGTTCTGCGCCGCCAGGTTAAGTCCCCCCGAGTGCCGCACCGGGCCGGGGTACATGGGCCCGTCCTTCTCCAGGAGGTAGCTCACGTACATGCTGGCGGGGCCCCGGCGGCGGCTCTCCACATGCTGCTCGGGGCTCTCGCCGCGGCGCGCCTGCTGCTGCCTGGGGCCGGGCTGCCCGGGGCGGGGAGGGGGCAGGCGGAGGGGCCGCGGCCCCGCGCTGCGCTCCGCGCTCCTCCGCGCTCCCGGTCCGAATCCAATGGCCGGCAGTCCTTACATGATTAACGATTGTTTACAAGGCTCTATTAGTAATGGCCCAGACACACCAAAGGCAGGTGACGTGGAGAGGCGCTGGGTATATAGCTACTACCCCTAAAAGACGATTTGCATTTAAAAAGATAAGGAGAGGGCAGCGACCTGATCACAGCTAAATATTCAAGCCTTTATTGTTTAAGAGCTTCCTCCTTCCATTGCAACCTGGTGCACTTTAACCTCCAATCACAGGTTCAAAGGATGAAATCAAGAGACTTGCAAAAGACAGAGAGGGAGATCTAAGGGCGAGGGTGGGAATATGGGAGCCGTGTATCACGGCCGATCTGTGGGCAGCACTTTAGCCAGCTCTTCTCTGTGCTTTGGTATTGGGGGGTGGGCGGG